ATCCACGAACGCCACCTCAGCGTGTTTAATGCCCAGACACGTGAGGCAGCAATCGTGACCATCACCCGGCGCCAGGTAACGACCGCATCCAGAAACGCACGGGTGAAACGGCATCTTTAAAAAGACGGCGGATGGAGGAGCCCTCGGAGGGGAATTCCTCACTGTCACCGTAAGACCAGTCCGGCCAGTGACAGAAGTGGGGCGACCCTGGCTGCCACCAGGGGGAACCCTAGATCTAGGCAGTGGCACGGGCACTCCGCCCCTTTGCAGGAAACGGAGTCTGGTCCGCAGCTCCGAGACGGTCATACTTCCGCAATGGGAGCATGACTCGTCCACGGAAGCCGTCTCAACGTGCTTAATACCCAGACACGAGAGGCAGCAATCGTGACCATCACCCGGCGCCAGGTAACGACCGCATCCAGAAACGGATGGGTGAAACGGCATCTTTAAAAAGACGATCCGTCATCTTTTCAAAGATGCACCCATGTAAGCTCTTTCAGAGAAATAAGCTCTTTCAGGGAAAAGCTCTTTTAGGTGCTGAGACGCACAGAGGAGATGGCCGCTTGCAGTACAACAGGGTGTAGTGCAGCCTGAAGTGTGCAACCCACTCGACACAGGAACGACCACCGCTGAAGCGCCCTCAAAGCGAGATCCCAATTCATCAGTCACCGACGTGACGTCGAGAGTGACCGACTGAAAGGGAACTTTAATAGCTGAGTCCCGTCGGATTACTTTCCATCGGCTGTGGAGTTGAAGACAACAACTCAGATGATTCACGCTTATTTACGCCGTCATCAAACTACATCTTGTGCCTTTAAAGTCCACGTGAACCGGAGGTTGCTGCCGAATTATATCAGTATTGTGATGTATTTGCAACTGAAATCAAATATTGAATAGAGGATTTTTGGTTAAAGATTACCAAGACAAACAATCTTATTCAGTGGATTAATTTGCACGGATTAATTGTTCACTTTAAGACTAGCAATGTACGCTAACAAAATAAATATAGTAAATTTTGATTTCATGTGGGCTAATTAACCTTATCATTTTATCCTCGAATGTTGTTTCCCTTATGTGGGTTGTGGCTAGAAGGGATACAGCTATGGCCGGAAGCTAACAATAAATGTAATTTTCTACCTATTAGATTGTTTTATTAATGCCTACACCTACCCCTTACAATAATGAAAAAAACTGTTGTACAGTGTGACAAAAATTACATTATATTGATGTGTGCATAACCAGTAGTTTAAGATTTATCCCTTCTAGCCTTAACCCTTATGTGGAACATAAAAAGTGATATTTTTTTTCACCGCACAGAAACCACAACCAGAGACATAATCTGTGCATTAATTTATTTACTACATATAAATTTCTGTGCATATATTTATTTGTTAATTTATTATGGTTTTATGCTTCTTTGTGCTCCAGATTTCCCATGTCTTTGCAAGGAAAGCTCCTGCTGATGAAAGTAAGCAGGTTCTGACTTGTCTGGCCACTGGTTTCTACCCCAGAGATATATTCAGATGTACATTAGATTGAACAGAAATAAACTTGAGGATCAAACATCTTCTGGAATCAGACCAAATGCTGATGGGACCTTTCAGATGAGAACCAGTGTGGAAATCAGCAGAAACCACAAAGGATCTTATGACTGTTTTGTCATTCACAGCAGCCTGACAGAACCAGCTTCAGTAGAATGGAGTAAATATCACCATAAATGCAGTCTTTTCTGTATACTTAGATGTAATTATGATCATTTACTCACATGAATATGTGAATAAGTGTGAAGAATATAAAACAGAACCAATTTTTTTTTTTTTTTTTTTATTCATTCTTTTAATTCATTCTTTGTGCTCCAGGTAAACCAGATGTTCAATTCCTGGTGAGAGTAGTCTGGTTCTGACTTGTCTGGCCACTGTTTTCTATCCCAGAAATATTCAGATGAACATTAGATTGGACGGAGCTAAACTTGAGTGTCAAACATCTCCTGGAATCTAAACAAATGATGATGGATCCTTTCAGATGAGAACCAGTGTGGAGATCAACAGAAACCTCAAAGGATCTTTTGACTGTCTGGTCATTCACAGCAGTCTGACAGAACCAATCTCAGTAGAATGGGGTAAATATCAACATAAATACTGTCTTTTCTCTGTACTTCTTAGATGTAATTATGATCATTTACTCACATGATTTTGTGAATAATGTAAAGAATATAATAGTTTTTCAAATAGAAACAAATTTACATTTTGTTAATTGAATTATGATTTTATGCTGCTTTGTGCTCCAGGTAAAACAGATGTTTATATCTTTGTGAGGAAAGTTCCTGGTGATCACAGTAAGCTGAATCTGAGCTGTATGGCCACTGGTTTCTACTCCAGAGATATCGAGATATACATTAGATTGAACAGAACTCAACTTGAGGATCAAACATCATCTGGAATCAAACAAAATAAGGATGGATCCTTTCAGATGAGAACCAGTGGAGATCAACAGAAACCTCAAAGGATCTTATGACTGTCTGGTCATTCACAGCAATCTGAGAAGACCAGTGTCAGTAGAATGGGGTAAATATTAACAAACACAGTCTTAAGTGAATATGGGCAGAATGAGCTTTATACACTAATGGTGCTTCTGCATCACTCATATTGTAGCAGGGGAACATGATCATTCTGAAATAGATTATTGTTTCTGGTCACAAACAATTACAGTAAAAGTGCCTTGATTCAGTTCAAGCATAATGCTGATTAAAAAGCATTGTTACGTTCCCAGTTAGTCTAGGGTTAGAGGAACAGGTGACGGAATAAAAACATAAACAGGAGAAAAACAAGATTAAGAAAATGGCACCCACCTCTCTACTAACACATTCCCAATAAATTAACAATGGACGTTTAATAGGTAACAAACAATAACATAAGTAGGGACAAACAAATAATAACTTCCAAAACAAACCAGATTTCTTGTCGTAGGCATCAATTACCACAAGAGTGTTAACACAATAACACTGTAAAGAAATCATTCAACAAAGTATTAACCAAAACAACCAATAAAGCTTTTTGGGTTGAGAATAGAAGCCTCACGACGCAGCCTCCACACACACCTTGCGCTGTGCAATGGTGCTGCTTAACTCCTCACTGCTTCCCCTCCTCCTGCAATCACATCAGATCACCAATCATTGGAATCAGGTGGCAGGCATTACCTCCTGTTTATGGGAAGTAAAAGGATAGAGAGAGAGAAACAGGGAGAAAACGAACAAAAATAAAAATAAAAAAATACGTCCTTGGACGTAACAAGCATTTATTATGTTTTTACCCTATATATATATATATTTTTTTTTTTTTTTTTTTTTTTTCCTTCTGCAGATGGAACACCTCCTGAATGTGAAACAAAATCTCTGTGGCCAGGAGTAACAGTTGCCGTTCTAGTTCCCATTTGTTGCTGGATTTTAAAATATGTATGCGCGAGAATGCACTAGCTTGTCAACATCTAGTCCATCAGAAGGTTTATAGGAAAAAGTTCATGACAGTTTCTGTTTCTATGCCATTTTATTTTTATTTTTTAGCGTTGGTTGGTGACACTTGATTTGATTTATGATTCATAGGTTTTTGGCAATAAGGGGATTGTTTATTGCAACAAAAGTAATTTGAGAGGAGCTTCAAATATATGTACAGTTCAAGTCAGGTGATGTTTGTTTACATACAGACCACAAACCATAATAATAACTGAATTTACACAAAAGATCCAGTTCAAAAGTTGACATATTCATAATTCTAAATAGTGTGTTGTTACCTGGATGATCAAAAGCTGCAAACATTAACTGATGCTCAAGGCAACACAGCACATTCAACTTTTGAACAGGATGATTGGAAATTGTTTTTATTTAAAGATCTTATTATTATTATTATTATTTTAGTACTGCCCTGCAGAAGCTACATAAAATACTTACATATTTTCCAGAAGAAAAATAAGCACAATTTATCCCCCAATCACCCAGAACTTCAGAAAGATGAAGTTCTCAAGGTGAATGCATACCTTGACTCTAGGGGCAATTTTTTTAATCATTTTCAAAAAAAATGTAAATTCCTTGTATTATTGTTGTGATTATATATTTTTTCTTTTCTTTTATGTAAAGCACTTTGAATTACCATTGTGTATGAAATGTGCTATATAAATAAACTTGCCTTGCCTTGTCCAAATGTTTACACCTCCTGAATTTTAATGCATTGTGTTTCCTTCTGGAGTATCAGTAAACGTTTTCACCATTTGAAATAGTTGTATGAGTCCCTCAGTTGACATCAGTGTGAAAAGATGGATCTCAAAAATCATACAGTCACTGCTGGAAAGGGTTAAAATATGCCGAAGATGCTGGAAAACAAAAGAATGTGCTGGGTTTTTCTGAAGAACTGTGGACAGAACCAGACTGCTAAGAACAAACATGGGAATTATCATGAAAACAAATCATAAAAACAGTCGTGAATCATCCAGGTAATGACACGCAGTAATGAGAATCAATAATGGCTTTTGGGAAATTACAGTGACAATCACATTTTACAATAAATCAATCAGATCTTTTATCGTTTTAGCAAATAAAGATTTATTTTTCCCCAAAGTAAACTTTAGATGTTTTAATTGAGGATTTTAATTTTAGTATTACGTGATTATTTATTAATTTGTTTGTTTGCCTGTTTGAACCTGTATGGTCATTTGTGTCAAAGAGCGTTTAAAGAAGATGTTGTTGACAATGACTTTGATTATACGGATGGAATCTACGGCTGGAAAACAAAAGTGTAATTTAATCAGCAGCCAGTGAGGGGCAGTGATGCGCTCAGTAACACCTGGAAGAAAAGTTATAAACTTTCATTTCACTGTTGATCTGTTCAGGGCGCGCGACTGAAATAAAAAGGACTGAAATATTTCATGCGTTCTCGTTCAAAACTTTGTGTGTGTGTGTGTGTGTGTAGACAAGAATGTTTTGGCTAATTTTATTAATTATTTTTATTTTCATTTCTCCTCAAAGCAATTCGAACGAAGGTAAGCACAACGTTTTCTGGTCAAATTTGGGACTTGTACAGTTACGTAAATAATGTAGGCTATATAGCTTACTGGTTGGAATAAAACAGAAGATTAACTTCTTGTTTTACCTGACAGACTTAAGTTCTTTAGACATATATTATAATGTTGACAAGTACAATGCTGACATTTACATTTTAAGAGAGAGAACATTATGTGAATAAATGTTAGCTGTCTTTAACGCGAACCTGACCTAAACAGCGCTCATCTGCTTGCATAGCAAAATCAATCATAATAAAAAAAAATCGTATGTTTTTTTTTTAGCCTATATAGGCCTATTAATTTGTTGATTCTTATTTATTTCAAATACAATTACTGAATGTTGCAGATAAAAACCATCATGTTGTTGCTTGTTTCTATTACGTTGTCGTTGTTTTGTAAGTTTCGGATGTGGTTTGATTCTGCTGCTGGTTTGCTTGTTGTGCACTAGTGGGCTACTGTACACTCTCAGAGAAAAGGTACAAAAGCTGTCACTGGCCCGGTACTCTTTAAAAAGTTACTAAATTGCACCATTTGGGTACTAAAATGTACTATATAGGTACTAAAATGTACCTTTAAAGTACTAATATGTGCCATTTAGGGGTAAATAAGATACAAAGATATAGCTTTTTAGCTTTTGTAGCTTAGGGTACCACCACAGTGACAGCTTTGTACCTTTTAGTCTGAGATTGTTCACCTTACGTGCTTAAGAAAAAACATCAAGAGCCTATGACTGGTTTTGCACTTTTATGAGCTTCATTACTTTCAAATAGTCTTAAATTAATAATATTAACTAATATTTATCACGTTAATTGTTAAAAGCTAAAAATTAAATGGAGTAAATAAATGTTCTTTTATGAATTTAGTTTAATTATTTTAAGATGATTTAATTATTAATTAATTTATTTTTATTTTTAGGCACCTCAGGAAAGGAACTACCACATTTTTTATTGTATGTTATCTGGGATGCAAAGTGACCATAAGAAGACTCTCTCTCTTGGTGATGCATCACAGTTCAAGTACCTGACTGAGGTGAGCGCTTCAATTCAAGTTGATTATGTTTTAGAGCGGAGAGTACTTGTAACGCTTTTATTTTTGCTTGTGTATTTGCTAAATGTTTAGCCCAAATTTTTGTAGTTTTTCTGCTATTTTAAATGTATACCATAATTAAGTCAAATAACGTAAATTCACAATTACATCTTAACATTATTGGTCTTATATCCATTGAGTGTTAAAATCACTCCTGCTCCCTAAATTCAGATTCCTTTATCAGGTTTTAATACTGATAATCACTGACTCAGGTACAAGTGCAATAAGTGACCCTTCCGATGGTTCTTTAGGGTGATTGTTTGACTTGTGATGGTCGGGACGATAATGATGAGTTCGGACGGATTCATTCTGCTCTAAAGATCCTCACTTTCTCAGACAGGGACTGCTGGGAAATCTTCAAATTACTCGCTGCCATTCTCCACATGGGCAATATCGACTTTCAGAGTTAGTGTCAATAACCTTTCTATTACAGTAATAACATTTCAACTGTCTTCCCACACACAGAAGTTATTGTAGTTAGGAATGTCATAAAGTTAAGTGATTTGCTCCTGATCTTTTTCAGGCACTATAATGAATAACATGGACAGCTGTGACGTCATGTCCTCCAATAATTTCTCTGTCACTGCCAAGTTGCTGGAGGTACAGAGAAATGTTCTTTAGCTGCTTTTAGCACTTTATCCTCAATTAATTTTTTTAAAAGCTTGCTATATTTATGCAATCGAACGTTTGCTGATGAATGTATTTGATGACAGCACTTCTGTCACTTTGCAGGTGGATGATGCTGTTCTCGAAAAGAGTCTTACCCATCGCTCCTTCATGACAAACAGAGAGATAGTCATGAAACCCCTCAGCTCAGAGCAGGCCACAGACACCAGAGATGCTTTTGCCAAGGTACCCACATCCTCATACCATACTGTCCAAATGTTTTTTTCCAGAAGAAGAAGAAGAAGAAAAAAAACTTACTGACCCTCAAACCTTTGAACAATGGTGTATATACAGTACAATCAACATTCAGGCTTCATAAATTCCCATTATTGTTGCACATGTGAATTAATGTTTTTCTACCCCCTGCCAGGCCATGTACGGAAGGCTGTTTGTTTGGATTTTCACAAAAATAAACAGCGCCATTCACAAACCCCAGACGGATGAGCCAAATTACACGCGCAAGTCCACTGGTCTGCTTGACATTTTTGGCTTTGAGAATTTCCCTCAGAACAGGTAAGTGTCTGTTGTCTAAACTAAAAATTATGTTAAATTAAAAAAATTTATGATAAATTAATGCGACTATTTAGCAGGGGTTTAAAGTACTTGAGCAGTTGTACTTCAGTACTGCATTTAAGTATAATTTCAGGGATAGATAGATAGATAGATAGATAGATAGATGATAGATAGATAGATAGATAGATGATTGATAGATAGATACATAGATAGATGCATAGTTAGTTCTATGATAGGCCCATACTCGAGTCGTAAATATCATGTCTCTATACTTCTGTCCTCTTTGTTTAGTTTTGAGCAGCTGTGCATTAATTATGCCAATGAGCACCTGCAGCAGTTCTTTGTGAGGCACATCTTTAAGCTGGAGCAGGATGAGTACAGTAAAGAAGGAATCTCATGGAAGCGCATCGCTTTCAATGACAACCAGAAAACCCTGGACCTGCTGGCCATTAAACCTCTCAACATACTGGCTCTGATTGATGAGGAGAGCACCTTTCCTAAGGTGAGCAATTTTAGTATTACGTGATTATTTATTAATTTGTTTGTTTGCCTGTTTGAACCTGTATGGTCATTTGTGTCAAAGAGCGTTTAAAGAAGATGTTGTTGACAATGACTTTGATTATACGGATGGAATCTACGGCTGGAAAACAAAAGTGTAATTTAATCAGCAGCCAGTGAGGGGCAGTGATGCGCTCAGTAACACCTGGAAGAAAAGTTATAAACTTTCATTTCACTGTTGATCTGTTCAGGGCGCGCGACTGAAATAAAAAGGACTGAAATATTTCATGCGTTCTCGTTCAAAACTTTGTGTGTGTGTGTGTGTAGACAAGAATGTTTTGGCTAATTTTATTAATTATTTTTATTTTCATTTCTCCTCAAAGCAATTCGAACGAAGGTAAGCACAACGTTTTCTGGTCAAATTTGGGACTTGTACAGTTACGTAAATAATGTAGGCTATATAGCTTACTGGTTGGAATAAAACAGAAGATTAACTTCTTGTTTTACCTGACAGACTTAAGTTCTTTAGACATATATTATAATGTTGACAAGTACAATGCTGACATTTACATTTTAAGAGAGAGAACATTATGTGAATAAATGTTAGCTGTCTTTAACGCGAACCTGACCTAAACAGCGCTCATCTGCTTGCATAGCAAAATCAATCATAATAAAAAAAAATCGTATGTTTTTTTTTTAGCCTATATAGGCCTATTAATTTGTTGATTCTTATTTATTTCAAATACAATTACTGAATGTTGCAGATAAAAACCATCATGTTGTTGCTTGTTTCTATTACGTTGTCGTTGTTTTGTAAGTTTCGGATGTGGTTTGATTCTGCTGCTGGTTTGCTTGTTGTGCACTAGTGGGCTACTGTACACTCTCAGAGAAAAGGTACAAAAGCTGTCACTGGCCCGGTACTCTTTAAAAAGTTACTAAATTGCACCATTTGGGTACTAAAATGTACTATATAGGTACTAAAATGTACCTTTAAAGTACTAATATGTACTTTCAGGGATAAATAAAGAACAAATATGAACCTTTTGAAAAGCGAAGGCTACAGTGACAGCTTTTGTATCTTTTTTTTTTCTGCGAGTGCAACAAATGTTGCAGCCGAATAAAGTACAGAGTTAGTTTCAGACTAGCTAGTAGTTACTAACGCCTCTAGTTTGGATTTTACATTCCAGTTTAAGTAAGAATTTACAAATGACAGGTGCGACCCTACATTATTTTTTACATGTTTGCTGGCAGAAGAAAAGCTTTTTGCGGTTTCTTTTATTGTGGTTTGTGCTTTTTATCTTCCGCAGAGAAACACTGCCTGCACTACATGTATACAGGCTTAACCAAAGCAGGTCCATTTCCTGAGTTCATTGCTGAGGCTGAATCTGATGACAAACAGATTGTTCGCTACAGTAATGAAAAACGAGCCTGGGAAAGAGACAATCTGACTGTAGACGACTGGAACAAAGCTCCTGCAGAACCACCTGAAACTAGAGAAGAGTTCTTAAATGATCTATATGATCTGTCAAAGTGCAAATTGACTGCAGAGTGTTCTGGTGAGTTTAGTGCTTTTTCTCTTAACATATGAGCTCAGGAAAGGAAAAAAACAACAACAAAAAAAACATATATATATACAGTATCTCACAGAAGTGAGTACACCCCTCACATTTTTGTAAATATTTTATTATATCTTTTCATGTGACAACACTGAAGAAATTACACTTGCTACAATGTAAAGTAGTGAGTGTACAGCTTGTATAACAGTGTGTGTTTGCTGTCCCCTCAAAATAACTCAACACACAGCCATTAATATCTAAACCGCTGGCCACAAAAGTGAGCACACCCCTAAGTGAAAATGTCCAAATTGGGCCCAAAGTGTCAATATTTTGTGTGGCCACCATTATTTTCCAGCACTGCCTTAACCCTCTTGGGCATGGAGTCCTCTTCCACTCCTCCATGACGACATCACGGAGCTGGTGGATGTTAGAGACCGTGCGCTCCTCCACCTTCCGTTTGAGGATGCCCCACAGATGCTCAATAGGGTTTAGGTCTGGAGACATGCTTGGCCAATCCATCACCTTTACCCTCAGCTTCTTTAGCAAGGCAGTGGTCGTCTTGGAGGTGTGTTTGGGGTCGTTATCATGTTGGAATACTGCCCTGCGGCCCAGTCTCCGAAGGGAGGGGATCATGCTCTGCTTCAGTATGTCACAGTACATGTTGGCATTCATGGTTCCCTCAATGAACTGTAGCTCCCCAGTGCCGGCAGCACTCATGCAGCCCCAGACCATGACACTCCCACCACCATGCTTGACTGTAGGCAAGACACACTTGTCTTTGTACTCCTCACCTGGTTGCCGCCACACACGCTTGACACTGTCTGAACCAAATAAGTTTATCTTGGTCTCATCAGACCACAGGACATGGTTCCAGTTGGTTTTTCATTCTTGAAGCATCAGTGAGCGTTTGAACCTGTAATAGTTGCATATGAGTCCCTCAGTTGTCGTCAGTGTGAAAAGATGGATCTCAAAATCATACAGTCATTGTTGGAAAGGGTTCAAATACACAAAAATGCTGGAAAACCAAAGAATTGATGGGATCTGAAGGATTTTTCTGAAGAACAGCAGGCAGTTTAACTGTTCAGGACAAACAAAGGACTCATGAACAACTATCACTAAACAAAAAACACAGCTATGGATCATTCAGCTAACAACACAGTATTAAGAATCAAGCTTATGTAAACGTTTGAACGGCGTCATTTTTATAAATTCAACTAATAAACAACATGTATTTTGTATGATCCCTCTTATTTTGGTAAAATAATTAACATTTTGCAGATTCTGCAAGGGGGATGTAAACCTCAACTGTGTATATATATATATATAATGATTTTGTGTGATTTTAGAGTTTCACGTACTCCAGAGAATAATTGGCTGTGAAGTGGTGAAACGTCTTGATGGAACAGTGACGAATCTGAATGCCTTTGATAAGAGTGCATACGATGGAAAGGATTTTACTATCTATAAGTACAACCAACCTCTTCCGTGGATGGATAAAGTCATAGAAACCAAAATGGATCATCAAACTGGACGAAACCCATTCCTCACAGATTTCCTCACAAACTGCATGAACTGGATCTCCACATTTAACAACACATATAAGAGTAGGTTCTGATTGCCATACTTTAATTAGCTCTTGTGTGTGTTTTTGTTTTTGTTTTACTCTTTCTAATTCTGTCTTGGTAGAGAGGTTGTTTATCATCATTATCATCACCATTGAGGACACTTCAAGCTAGAGCCCTGCATTTCAGCCCGGGCCTGACGGGCCCCGACTTTTTTTACGCCCCTCGGGCCGGGCTTCGGGCCAATTTTCACGTCATAGTTCATAGTGCTACCGCAACTGTCAAGAGCGGCTCGACGGCGGTTAGTGTCCAGCAGCAGCAGCATGTATGGTGCGTGCCGTCAGCGCAGCTGAACAGTTCTGCGTTCAAATGCAAGCAATAAGCTTAAACTTGCTGCAAAGCACCGGCAAAAGTAATTACCATAAATGTGACAGGGGGAAATAGTAAGGAGATATTTGAGTTATTTACTAATAAACTACTGTTTTCTGAGTCGGTGTCGCAAGGATGAAGTTGTCGATCCTGACTCGCCATCTCTTCATTAG